TATGCATAGAATAGACTTTTTTCAGGGATCTAAGTCACAGTCTGGTGGCATTTACTGGCACGCTCTAGAACACTTTTCCATTTCCTCCCTGGAGCATAGCCCCCTGGTAATTGGCAAGGTGGAGAGAGCTGGGTTTCAATGGTTATCAAGCTTGGGGGTGAGAAGTCCACACTGTTACCAAGAGACTTCCTTCACTGGAGCATCAGCTGCCATCCATCGAACCAAGGACACTGCTCCAGCCATCTGCCTCCCAGCCCTGTTCCTCCTTTGTCATCACTGTCTGGTTTTCCACTTCAACATTTTTATCAGTATATAACCACTGTGTTATTTCTCTTTCTTAAATAAGATCAATTTTTAATTGACTCCATCCACCCCAAGTAGCTATCTTATTTGCTTGTTCCTGAAAAAAAAGATTATCCACGTTCATCACCTCTAACTTTTCTTTTTCCCTTTGTCTTGGAAAATTATTTTTCTTCTAAGAATAATTGTAACATTACCCAAGAGCTGTAGGTATAGAGCACTCAGTTGTTTTCCCCTGGACCATTTGAGAGTAACTTGCACAAAATGTTCTGTCTTCTGCATAACTGAGTGTGTGGTTACTACAAAGGAAGGAAGTGCTCTACATAATCTGAGTGCCAGGATGAGAATCGGGGAGTTAACGCTAATGCATTGCCCACCTCTGGTCCTGGAGCCCCACCAAGTGTTGCAGACTGTCCTAGGACTGCCCCTTGAGCAGCAGGGCCCAGTTCAGAATCTTGCATGGCATTTAGTTGTCCTGTCTAGCACTGTTCTTGTGACTTTAATGACCTGGCCATGACACATTTGGGATTATTAACCATTTGTTTTGTAGATTCTCACTCCATTTGTGTTTGATGTTTCTCTATGATTAAATTCAGAGAATGAAACATTGACATTAATATCATTGAACTTACCAAGCATTTGTTTCATTGTATTTGATCAGTGGGACATGATTTCAAATTGTTTGTTTGTGGTGACATTAGCTCACCTTGACTGAAGGGATGTCTGCCAGATTTCTCCATGAAAATCTATTCTTTTCCTGTCCAGAGCTAATAAGAATTTGGAGCTTAAAAGTAATAGCTTAAGGTTACATAACTATCCTTTTTTATGCTACCTTTTTAATTCAATTGTATTGATGTGGATTTATGGTTTCTGCTTCAGTGGGTTATAACCTGTAACTGTCATTATTGATTTTGATTTCTAAGTTGGCACGGCCTGAAAGCTGACCACTGTGTCCTTCTGACATACCTCCATAACTTTCTGAGAACTGCTTCAGTAGGGGTCACAAAGAAGATGGTTTCGCTGCTCTCATCCCTACCCCAGCTCTGGACTCAGCCTCTTTTACAAAGAACTCTGGTTGCATTGGGAAGTGTGTGTGGGGTGTGTGGGGATGAATCACAGCCTTCACACTGGTGGCACCAGTTGCTCTCCTCTCCTGCAGCACCAGGTTCATTGCAGCTTTGTGCTTCCTGCACTGCAGATGCTTTTACTGACAGTGACACACCTGGCCCCCAACTCTAGTTGATGACTCAGATGTGGGAGCCACACTCACATCCCGTGGGCTCCCTTCCCCCATGTGAGTACTGTGCGTGTCCTCGCACTTAGTCAGCAGGACCCGTTCATGGCTGCAGTGCCTCTTTTTTTTTTTTTTTTCCTTAATCACACTTTGATTTTTCTACTTTGTTGATCATATGAGCACTCCAGGGGGTCTTCAATAAATTCATGTCAGTAAATATTCTGAAAATATGGTGTGTGGCTATAATGCTTTGAATTAAAAGAAGCTCCCTTCAGCCCCAGTTTTCCATGAACTTGGTGAAGTCTCCTCATATTTACAATAGCTGGTTTAACAGTAGCCTCAGCTACCAACTGCCTCATTTCTGTTAATCCTGGATCTTTCCCTTTGGATTAACTTCTTTCTTCATTATGGTCGAAATGTTTTTCTTGCTCATTGGTGTGCCTGGCAATTTTTTAAAATCACGTTCTAAGCATTGTGAATCTGATCTTCTGGCATACTTAATTTCTTATGTTGCTTTAAATATTTGGCTGGGGGTGTGGGTGCTTGCTTTGGATTGTTGTTAAGTTACTTGGAAACATTTTGGCTAGTGCAAGGCTTGTTTTCCATTTCAACAGATGGGTCTGTGACACCTCTTAACTTCCGATCGAAAGGGAATTGAAGGAGGAGCTTGCTGAGGCCCCTAACCTGTCCAGTGGAACAGAAGCTACTCTGGCCTTGGGGCAGCTCCAAGTCCCCTGATCTTCTCTGCAAAGCCTCTCACAGTTTTCTCCTACTCATGTACTGGTCAATATTCTAGTGAAGCCCAAAGAGGAAACTTCTGGATCTTGAACTATCCCTTTCCCCAGCCTTCCAGGTGGCTTTGTCTTATGTTACTCTTTGCTTAACTCAGGGCGGTTGTTGAACTCCTATGCTGTACCTGGCAGTTAAGTCAGGGCCACACTGGCATTTATCTTAGCTCTCTTCTCAGGAGTCACACAAGTCCAGCACTTGGCGAAGTTTTACCTGCACCCATTCAAGATGAGGATGACAACAGCTGGCGGCTCCAGTGTTGTATGCATTAAATAAGATCCTGTATGCAAATGGGGCTAGCTCAGTTCTGCCCGTAACAGCTGACTAACCTTAGCTATGATTTGTAAGAACTGCTAGGATTCCAACACCATGTTGACCCCTTTGCCCAGGAGACTGCATGTAATTTTGTTGAGCATTTGGAAAAAAGAAACCATTCAGCATCCAGTGTTCATGTGTAAGATATGAACAACTGAGGTTTGTTTTTTCCAATGTTGGACTTTCTGTGTTACAGAAAAGATTTGGCAAAGTCATGCCCATCTATTTGTGTGAGCATTTCAGATGAGCAGTAGAGCTGGGTTTTTCTTAACAAGCGAGTTTCTGTTGTGATTATTTTACCATCTCTGCCACTCAACAGCTAAGCCCCTGTTATCTACAGTCGTGACTGTTGCTCGAGTGAAAGGCACAAAATGTAGTCTCAATACAGTCTGCTTTCATTCAGAAGAGCGAAGACAAGAACAGGCTGTTTCATTTTATTATTGGTAGCATTTATACAGATCCGTGAAGAATCTTCTGTTTCTCTTGGCGAGCTAGCTTCACGTTGAGCAGATCATCCGTCAATGTCTGTGGCTTAGTGGCTAGGCATCAAGGTTCAGGGTCTCCTTCTGGCATGTTCTGTGCTATAGGACAGTGAACAACTCGCATAATGTGCTGAGCCTCCATTTTTCATCTATAAAAAAAATAGATAATAATTCCTATCTCAGATGATTGTGAAGATCAGAAGAGAAAATTTAACTCAATTCCTAAAATGAAACAGGAGCCAATAAAAATGTTTTTATTAGCACAGTCATATCTGTTAAAGAGACTGATGTTTACACAAACATACCATCTTGAATTGAGAATTGAATGGCGGCCCCTAAAACTCATACCCTCCTGGAGTTTTAGAAAGCAGTCCTGCTAGATTTGAATGGGCTCTAATCCAGTACCTGGTAAGATGGGAAATTTGGACAGAACAAGGCAGGAAAAAGTCACAGAAAGATTGGAACACATGAGAAGAACTGCTGTGTTAAGTTGAAGGGAGACATTGTGGGGGGATTAGCTGCAAGCCAGGGAATAACCAAGAATCACTCACAGTCATTGCCTGTAGCCCAGAGGTTACACAGACATCCTGTAGCAGAGTTGGTTACAGTCCTGGCTGCTCGGCTTCTCATCCCGCTTGCTTCCTGCCAGTGCTTCTGGGAAAGCAGTGGAGGGATGGTCCAAGCTCCTATAGGAGACCAGGGTGGGATTCCTAGGTCAGCTATTGTGGCTGTGTGGGAGGGTGAACCAGTGGATAGAAGATCTCTCTTGCTGTGTTTGTATGGTTCCCTCTCTTTGTCATTCTGCCTTTAAAATTAAAAACAAAACAAACAAATAAAAAGCTTAGCAAAATGACACCCGGCAGTTACCAGCAAGCAGCACACTCTGGGAGAGGAGCGGAGTAGGCTGTCTCTCTGAGTCTCCCGAAGGGAAACTGCTGTGATTTGCAGTTCAGTCTCTAGAATGCCCTTCTGTAGCTAAGGCACTTGGGGATCCATTGAGGCAACCAGAGGACACTCACCTGTGTCACCTCTGTCCCAACGCACATCTCTCTTGGCATCAAGCAGAGCCAGCCCTCCTTTTCTGCGTCAGGATCAACTCCTTTCTGGAGTGCAACCGAGGGCCCCTCTCGCACACTTGGTACCCTCCCCACTGCCAGTGGCTGTCCTCTGCCTCTCCTCACCATGTCCCCTGACTCAATGGGAACAGCCTCTCTCCTTGGGGACAGTCACCTCCAGCTGGTCTGTGATGAAGAGCACGGGGAGTCTTGTCTTGGGCCAATCTCTAAGGCTTCAAATGGAGGGCCGAGGGCCAGCTAAGAGCCAATAGGCTAATCAGTGCAGTCCTGGGGCAAGGAACCAGTCAAGGTATAGCTGCTATGCCCTTTGTGAAAATCTGGGACTCATAGGACCCCTGGTCAGTTACCTGAGCTGGACCCAGTGGCAGAGAGGAACAGGAATTCACTCTTGCACCTGTGGCCCAGTCTGATGTCACTGTGTGGCTGTGTCTACACCTTGAGGAAGGGGTAGTCGTGTCCTGAACCTCACCCTAAGGAAAGCTGGATACTTTCAGAGGCTTGCACCCTAGGATGATGTTGCTTTCATTGGGAGAAAAATCTGGTGTGACCCTTAGAGCAAGTCTGATAGGTCCCGTGAGAAGAAGAGCGCTGGGCCTGTGTGGCTCTTTCCTCCACACAATGTTCCCTGGGTGGACCGCTGTTCTAGCTCCTTGCTTCAGCTGTGTGCATGCACTTGGCAGAGTTAGGACCTGACGTCCGCCAGGCCACAGGACCCCAAAGAGCAGGCTTTGAATGGCAGTCACACACAGCACCGCCATGCACACCTTGTCCACAGTTCCGATGGGTTTTTGTCTCCCTGTCCAGGTCTCCAAGGCAGCCGCGGACCTGATGGCCTACTGCGAAGCCCACGCCAAGGAGGACCCCCTGCTAACCCCCGTGCCGGCATCGGAAAACCCCTTCCGGGAGAAGAAGTTCTTCTGCGCCATCCTTTAGGTCTTCCGGAGGTTGCGGCTGCACCTCGGGGCTCCGGGGACTTGAATGTAGAGTTTGTAGCAAAGTGGGCACCTTTGTAGCCCATGGCATTTGACGAGAGAGGGAGAAGACAGTTCTGGCGAGTCCAGGCCCTGCATGTTTCAAGAACGTCCCCCTTTAGGAGAGTGAGCGCCGACCCCCGTCCTGAGCTGAGACCCAGCACTGCAGCTCTGCCTGGCAGAGCGCAGTGCGTCCACACACAATTGGTGTCACTTCTTTTCTGTTACCCACCCCCCACACACCTTCTGTTTCTGCTTCCTATTTAAAAATTTTTTAAACAAAAAATAAACAATCAAACCTGAAACAGACAGCTGTACTGAGCTGAGCTATGTCTGACCTGCTGGGAGTGGGCACCCTTCGAGGAGTTGAGTTGACCAGCGTAGCCGAGGCTGTTTTGTCTTTGTGCCTTTATTTTCCTCCTTCTCCTTGCCCTCCCGCTCCCCTCCCCTCCCTGTTAGAGTAGCATCGTGAAGGCTGGACTTGTCTGGAAAACTGAACTCCACGAAGGAGCCCCAGGGAGAGATTGAGGGAGAGATTCCCCAACCCGTGGTGTTCCTCACGATAACAAAACAACAGCAGATGCTGGCTGTCTGTGTCCTCGTATCACTATCCCTAATACTTGTCCATGATAGCTTTGATTCTGCAAGTAAAAGTACTCCATGTGTTGTGATTGGTGCTTTCATCTATCTGTGATAATTTTTGAGTGAATACTGCATGAAAATGTCCCCATGTTACATCCATTCAGAAGTTTCGTTGTTTTGCTATGAAGCTGGGAAAAGACACTAGGAGGAAGCCAACCTCACTCTTTGGAAACAGGACTTCAGGGCCTTAGCCACGCCTAGAATGCTTCCAAGCTGATAGCAGGGGAACTGCCTGTTGGGCATATCTTCCACAATCCAAAGCATTTTAGTTTATCCAGGGCGGCACAGGTCCCCCCAGCAGGAGCACTGAGGATTCACTGCGAGCTGGGAAATGCTAGTGCATAGATCATGCAGAGGTGCCCTGTTGAGTAAAGCACGGGCATTCTAGATTGGCACAGTGTTTCCCACGTGCATGGTCTTAGGAACTCAAGGCCCTCCTTTGTGCAAGGAGCAGGACAAATAAACCCACAGTTCCAGGGTAGGTGAGCTGTGCTGAGAACCCAGCTGTTAGCCCACCAGGGAGAAGGATCCCACACAGTCCACCTCCGGGTGGCAGGTGCAGCCCCTGCTGACAGCTACACCACCACAGCAGGTTCTGCCTCTTTCCTTTGTAGTTGTTCCAAGTAGATTATTCTCATTTTCACTCACCTGAGTTCCCTAAAACAATCTTTTGAGTCTTTGGTGTCCGCCTTGTTCATTACAATCTCTCGGGCTTTCTTTACAACTCCCATGTACCTAGAGCTGTCTTCTCAAAACATGGGCTTGCCATTTTGTTTTTTTTTTTTTTTTTTTCCTGCACCTGGAGCCTCCAGCAGCATCAAGCTGAAGGCCCGTTACTGTGGTTAGCTCCCAGATAGCTGTTCTCTTCCTTTTCCATTCTCTTCCTTCTGTTTTGTTGTTGTTTTTTCATTCTTACTAATATGAAGAGGAGGTGGAAGACCGTGTCTAGTCCAAGAGCAGACTTGCTAAATATTTCCTGTCGCAGAGCTTCTTTGCTGGTGAAAGAATAAATCCATTCAATTCAAGCTCCAGTCTGCCATGAGGGAGGAGAGACTGGAACGTCTGTGAGGTGTCTCAGTGTGATTCCACCACCAGCGTTTCTAGTCTCCTGATCAGATCTTGGGATTCAGTGTCAGGAGAGGCTTAAGGAAGCTTGGGTTGGAACAGTGCCAGCTGGGTGTCTGTCCACCCACAGTGCTGTGCACTTAACTCAGTCCTGCCAGGGAGCCAGCGCCAACCGTGTCACTTTTTTTAAAGGAATCAGAACATGGGTGGAACATAGGGTCCTATAGAAACAATGATAACTTAGGGCAGTTTTGAAAGTGGTGAAGGACTCATGGATTTCACAGTCTATGTTGTGCCTTTTCTCCAGAAGGACCATTTGTTTCCATGTAATTCCACAGCTTTGGAGCAACTAAAATGCTTAGGAAACATCAGAATAGGGCCTGGCCATTAAATGCTAAGGTGTTTCTGTCCTGCGTACATGTGTATGTAAAAGGAGAGAAAAGACCAGAAAAACAGAAACCACCCAGTCCTGCTGAGTTTCAGTTTAAGGAAAAGATCTTGTATTTGTCATAATTTCATGTCTTACAGTCTAGATAAATAACCACAAAATCTGCATATAAGTTTTGGCTTCTTGGTTTTTATACTTATTAAGGGGAAAAAGTCTTTTGTCTACCAGTGCCTCTAAAAAAAAGTTCAATTCCCTTAAAAATTCAACAGTCTTTTCACCAGCATTAGGGTTTCGTAAGTGATAACTAATAGGAAAATTCAACATGATGATTTAAAGCCCTAACTTCTATATATATCTATACATTGGGTAGTAGTGAAAAATTGCCATGACATTAGTTAATGAATAGTAAGTTTCATATTTGAAATCAAGCATTATGAAGGAAAAAATGCATCACTCAATATTAAAATTTGTCTTCAATAATACAAATTCTCTCTTCTTTAAAATTTGAAACCAAATATTTTCCCATTGGAATCAGATGTAAATAATTAAGTACTCTGATTTTGCTAACAATATTTTAAATAGAACATCTACCAAAGAAAAACTAAATAGTCAAAATCATCTCTCCATACATTCATGCCTCGGTAAGGAATTTTGAGAAAACCAAGTATGCTGTGGTAGGGGACTTTTATACTTTCTTTCTTAATATTTGCTTCTAGCTGCTCCTGGTGATGAATTGTTACATCTGCATTCATGTTTTGCAGCCCAAGAATTGTTCACCCTTCTCCTATACAGAAACCTGCGCAATGTGTCTTTCAAAGAAGGAAATACAGAAATGTTAAAGCAGGAAAACCTGAATGTGATGTGCACATTTTCATTCCATATGGACAATGTATTTGTTTTAATAAATGGAATTTTCCAGTTCATTTCTTATAGAGTCAACTTCATCGTGAAGGCCTGTAGCCCCTCTTTCTTCTCCCCCATCTGTGGTTCACTTAGGAAGGGTCCAATGACACAGATGATGGGAAGATAAGAACCCATTGATTTCCTTTGAGGTTTTGTTTATGGGGGTCTTTGGAAACCCTTTCTGCTTGGGTCTCTAATCCTCAGGGGAATGTGCTGGGCCCAGAAAACGTCAGGATAAGGGGGCAGGGCCCTGGGGGGCTGGACCCTGCACTCTGATCAGCTCTGTTGACACTTGAACTTGCCACTCTCTCCTCTTGGAAATGACCCAAACTTCGATAGTGCTGCTGACTGTGACAAAATCAATGATTGACAAGATGGACTGGAGAAGGCAAGTCCATGGAACTCAGGATGCCACAGTTCCTCAGGAGAGCCTTTCAAATGTCCCCCAGACTAAGCCTGTGAGTGGCACCCCATACCTCCAGCTTCTTGGGCCCCTACAACTGCCAGTTTTCCTTTTTTCTTTTTCTCTTTTCTTCCTTCCTTCCTTCCTTCCTTCTTCCCTTCCTTTCCTTTCCCTTCCCTTCCCTTCCCTTCCCTTCCCTTCCCTTCCCTTCCCTTCCCTTCCCTTCCCTTCCCTTCCCTTCCCTTCCTTCTTTCAAGATTTTATTTATTTTTATTGGAAAGGCAGATATACAGAGAGGAGAAAAGACAGAGAAGAAGATCTTTCATCTGATGGTTTACTCCCCAAGTGGCCGCCATGGCTATAGCTGAGCCAATCCAAACCTAGAAACCAGGATCCTCTTCCGGGTTTCCCACGCAGGTGCAGGGTCCCAAGGACTTGGGCCGTCCTCAACTGCTGTCCCAGGCCACAAGCAGGGAGCTGGATGGGAAGCAGGGCTGCCGGGATTAGAACTGACATGCATATGGGATCCCAGTGCGTTCAAGGCAAGGACTTTAGCCACTAGGCTATCATGCCAGGCCCTACAGCTGCCATCTTTAAGTCACAAATGAAGGCGCCTAGGGTGGAGTTCCACCAGCTTTCCTGCAACCCATGCTGTGGTCCCCAGGCCACAGAAGCAGCTGGGTTATCTTGGGCCCTGCCCTGGCCCAGAATCTCTTGGTAGAAACTTCCAAGAACAGTGCCAGCTCTTGCTTGCTCTGAACTAAGAAGCACTTGTGCAAATGCTCCTGACATGTTTTAGAAATGCCCATGGCACAACACAGGCAGATCCTGGCGCAGGCACCGCCAGCTGCAGGCAAGGGCTGCCAGGCAGTGCCCCTGGAAACTGTGGGCAGTCCTTCTTTCCCCAAACCCCACGGTGGGGAGGAGGCTAGTGGGCTTCCAATCGCTCCTTTTCCACAGCATCCCTAGGGCAGGACTGCCTTGGGCTTTAGTTCTTTAATAAGCTGCTCATATTTTAGCCCATGCTCACGAAGATGACAGAGGGAATTAGAGCTGGGTCAGCTGCCATCCACAAATTGCAGATAATTTGCCCAGGGAGATCCCTCTCCCTTTGGTTCTGCCCCACATCTGCATACTCTGTGAGTTAAGAGACTCAGTTGGGCTTTGTGGTAAGGAAGGGGGCCGGGACTCCCAGGCCCTGTCTTAACTCCTGCTGTTTTTCCTCCCTGGCAGGCACAGAGAAGGTGGAACCCACTGACCTTGACTTCTGCTGGAGCCATGACCTTGGGCCAGTCTTTAACCTTTCCTTGCCATAAAACAGGGACAAGAGTAACTGATCCACTCATGAAGTTGTCAAAATGAAACAATGAAATGAGCAGGTAAAAAGCAGGGAGGGAATTATGACATTGTAGACACCATGTGATGACAGCATCCCCATAGGGACAGCCCTGGAGAGTCCTCTGGTCTCACAACTTGCTTTCTCTCCACTCCCCAAGCCCCTGGTGCAGATCTGTCACCATGTGGCATATGGTATGTCAGTGGCAGCCACACTCAGGACTCTCATCTCCTCCCCCTGTCAGCTACCCTACTTGCCTCTCTGTATTCACTTATTGGGATCGTGGGGTGCAAGTGGCATGGACCTCAGTGAACTTGCTCAGTAACCAACATCCCAGAATAATCTGCTTAAGGCATAGTGAGATGCAGGTGCTCTGATGATGTCACAGGTTGCCCCTGTGGTGTCTCAGCTTGGCTGGCCTCTGTGCTGATGTCACTCACAGACGCTTGGCTTCCCCAGAGCCCTGGAGGAGGGTCAGCCCCTCCAGCTTGCCTCTCACACCCAACAAGCACCAAAGGGAGACAGAGATGGCGCCAGCGGTGGTCAGGAGTCCCAGACCATAGATGGCATTTGCAAAAATGTAAGGCGATATCACTCTTCTTGTGGGTTTTATTTATTTAGTTTTAGAAATAGGTTTTTCACAAAAATGTTCCTTTTGATGACATGTCCTGGGTTCAGTATTTTGTTCAATGAATGAATCATATATTTTAAAAAATTTTTCAGTTTTACTCTCTTTTCCTAAGACTTATTTTTTATTTGAATGACAGATGTACAGAGACAAGGAGAGATAAAGAAAGAGATTGAGAGAGAGATCTTCCATCCACTGGTTCACTTCCAAGGTGGCTGCAATGGCCAAAGCTGAGTCGATCTGGAGCCAGGGGCTTCTTCTGAGTCTCCCACATGGGTGTGGGGGCCCAAGGACTTGAACTATCATCCACTCCTTTCCTAGGTTATTAGTAGGGAACTGGATCTGAAGTGGAGCAACTGGGATACAAATTGGCATCCATATGGGATGCATGTACTTGCAGGCAGAGGATTCGCATTTTGAGCCACCAGGCCAGCCCTAGTTTTAATTTCTAATATATCAAATAGTACTAGACATAACACACATGAGGCCAAGCCCTGATCATTGGACAAGGTGCTCAGTAACTTTAAAAAATAGCCAAAAGAAGAAGGAACAAGTCCTTAGACCCTGAAGTTTGAGAATGTTTGATTTCCAGAATGTGGTTCAACTCTGTGTTTTGAAAATGGGAGAATGTTAAGTGTCATTCTCCCTCACTCCGCTGTTCAGCAGTAGAGTCATGAGGTGTGCCTAACGAGGAAGAGATGATTGGAAAGGGCGAGAAGATGGGCTTTCAGTTTTCCACTTGGATGGGCTTCAGGTGTTCGCTAGGAATTTAACTTCAAAATTAAACAGTATGTTGGAAGATAATTTTCCAAGAAGAAGAAGTATTTACACAGGTATTACACAAACACGTAAAAGATTCAAGTCATTATTAATAAAGAAACCAGGCAAGATGTCATAACTGGCTCAAAGCAGAAGTCAAAAGGCAGACATATTAAGCATATGGGAATGAGGTTGCAAATGGATGCAAAACTAGCCTCTTTCACAAAGGAGGAAGTGTGTCCTGCAGAGTCTCCATTGAACAGTGTGATTGCATAGCTAAAGCTATATGTACAACTTACAGAGCTACAAAAATAGCTCCATGAGAAAGAAAGGCCCGGAGTTCCCACACAACCAGCATTGGGTAGCTTAGTAAACAATGCTGTCAACAGTGCCCTTGTCCACTGAAGCTCAGCTGAGACCAGGTGCTGGGCACTGAACAAAGTCCAGTGAGACAAAGAAGAACTTGCTGTGCCCTCTGCTCAGTGCTCGTGCAAGCCTGCCTATAACGTACACCCCTGCTACTGGGGAATAGTGTGGTTCTCATTTGCCTAGCGGAGTGCCCACTCTCCTGGGTAATGGACTTAGTGCCTACCAGCATCTGGGCTCTTGACACCCTCCCTGAGATCCAATCAGATGAGGAAACAGAAGCTAGAGCAGTTAAGTCACATGTTCCAAACCTCCAGTAGAAGATTCTGTTTGGGTTTTAACTGAGTTGTCTCCAACTCTTTCTTCACACGCTCCTGTAATTTGGTATCAGTCCAGCAGATGGCGACCTTGGCAGGAAAAAAGAAAAAAGATTTTATTATAAAGAGAACGGATTTCTTTGCCATAAGAAATAAGGCAGAAAGAGCAATTTCTTGCAGTGGCCCTTGAGAATTAGGTGTTCTTACTAATCCCTGAAGTCTCCCACATTTTTAACAGTTCAACAATAGACAAAGAAAGACTTCAAAGAGACATTTTAGTCCATTCTTTTTATTTATTTATTCATTTATTTATTTACTTGTTTTTAAAAAAATTTTTTTTTGAGAATGAAAAAATGATGGTCCCAGGGCTAAACACTTAGATATCAGGCCAAGCGCCATGGCTTGACTCACCCTGCAAGTGCCGGGATCCAACTACTCCACTTCCCATCCAGCTCCCTGCTTGTGGTCTGCAAAAGCAGTCGAGGATGGCCCAAAGCCTTGGGACCCTGCACCAGTGTGGGAGACCTGGAAGAAGCTTCTGGTTCCTGGCTTCAGATTGGTTCAGCTCTAGCCATTGCGGCCACTTGGGGAGTGAACCAGTAGATGGAGGTGTCGCTCCTTCTCTCTGTAAATTTGACCTGCCTTTCCAATAAAAATAAATCGTTAAAGAGTGAGAAGCAAAACTGATAGACTTTTTTAAAAGTCTAGGGATATTCTGAGATTCACAGATGGAACATAGAAGTTGGGCTAAAGTTCCGTTTACAGTAGGAGTTGGCAATCCACAGCCTGTGAGCCTTTGTATGGCCTATGCATTAAGAATGTTTTTAGACATTTTTTAATATTCTATTTTCTTAAGATTTGTTTGTTTTCATTTGAAAGGAAGCTTTACAGAGAGGAGAGATCTTCCATCTGCTGGTTCATTCACAAATGGCCTCAAGGCCTGGAGCTGAGCTGATCTGAAACCAAGAGCTTCTTCCGGGTCTCCCACACAGGTGCAGGGTCCCAAGGCTTGGGACATCCTCTACTGCTTTCCCAGGCCACAAGCAGGTTGCTGGATGGGAAGTGGCGAAGGCAGGACACACACCAGAATTAATATGAGATCCCAGCACTTGCAAGGTGAGGATTTAGCCAGTTGAGCCATTGCTCAAGGGTCCCCTTTGTTGTTTTTGTTTTTGTTTTTAACCTTCTTTGATGGTAAAAAAAAAAAAAAA